TCGGCGGCAGGAGACGTCTGAGAGCGTCAAATTCGGAATCGAGCACGCAAATCGAGCACGCAGGGAAGAAGGGGAAGAAGCGAGCAGGCGAAGGTGTCGAGCGATGTCTGCGGCTTCTTCAGTGTGGGAGACGGGATCGAGCAGGGAGAGTGAGGGATCGAGATCGAGAAGGGAGCGAGTGCGGGAGACGAGCAGGAGCGAGTGCGGGAGACGAACAATTGCGAGCGGTGATTGAGTTCGCTGCCGAGGAAGGAGATGAGCGGGAGGGAAATTCGCTGCCGAGGAAGGAGACGAGCGGGAGCGGAGGATTTCGTTCGAATTGGAAGCATCCAACCAAGGCTCTCGCCGAGGCTCTCGTGAGCGAGAAAGAAATAAGCCCGCTGGAGAAAGAGCCATCACGGGACAACATTGGTGGGAAATTAATGATTTCCTTTCCTGCAAACGATTTAATTGGAAAATAATAACATTCAAATATTTTCAATTAATACGAGTTTTAAATAATCCGCCTGAATTTTGAAATTTGAAATTCAAAATCCGTGAGCAGGTGTCTAGCCCAAATCGGGCCCGAGGCCCGAGTCGGACCTGGGTTGAGCCTGACCCGCGCACCTAAAAATACATCGATTTCCGTGCGGTTCGCGCGAGTGTGGAACCACAGCAATATGAATGTCTTTTCTAGCTAAAATCGACGTTTCGGACGCATCGGCGCGGTCCGTTTCGTCATCCGGGGTCGTCCAGACGAGTTTGCCGGCGGGCGAGTCAATTTAAGTCAAAATTGCGCGTGATGCAACAAGTGCGTTGTCGAGTCACCGCGCTTGAGTCATGGAGGGTTCACTTATGGCTATCCGATCCTATGTGAACTTATTTTCGGGCCCTCTACATGCTGGTCTATAGCCCTTGCAACTAGAAGTTGAGTGCTTGGAACCACTCATGCGAGTTCTTCACAAAAATGAGTAAAAATACGGTTTGAAGTTCTACGGAGGTGGGCTCCATTACTAGTCTGCTAGGACGGTCAACAAGGAACTCCTAAGGCTAGATTTGGTGTTCATGGGAGTAGGAGACGAAGACCTAACTAAAAATGAGGTCAACAATAACCTAACAACATTTAGTTTTAATCAAAGTTTAAAGTTCCACATAATTATGACAGAGTTTATTCCTCCAAACTCTTACGAGTATATTCCTATAGTTCTTAACAATATGGTTCAATGAGCCTTTGCCAATCGGACTCCTTGCCCAAAGTAGGAATCAGATTTGGCCAAATAAAGAACCTACAGCTACATTCCTAAATTCAAATATTTACCGCTATACTACTAAATTACATCTATTGGCTAACCTTAATTAACAACAATAACACAGAAATTATGGCATAAGGACCGCACACCTCATAACACAATCCACGACAAAAAAACCAAAAATAAACATTGATAAAAGTAGGGAAGGAGGTATCAAAGATAGTAAGAGAGCGGAGGAGAAGTAAACACCGACAATCACTCATTGGAGCGAAGAAAAGGAAGGGAAGAAAATAAACGCTAGGCAGCGATGTCGCTCAACAATAGGCAAAGAGGGGCAGCCAGGTAATCGCGAACCAAGTGAAACGTCGAACGCGGGGGCCTCGTAGCTTATGCAGATTACGACATGTTTTTAATAAATCGACAGCGCCATTCTTCCAAACACTAGAATCAACGTTTTCAAAACGCACCACAACGAATAAGCTGCGCCAAACAGAGCCTTAGTGAACAACTCGTGTTTAATTCGTACAAGCCATTTTAGCTCTATTTAAAAATGAGCAAGCCATGAATACCTTTCTTTGTCGGATCGTGTTCAACTCATTTTGACTCGAATTAACTAAATACATAATTTTTATTAACACTTATGTTATATTAATTACTACCATTTTAGCTTTATTCATTAACCGTTATGTTGCGGCCCTCCTTTAGGATTTAAGAATTAGGGATTTGAGGCAAATTAACCGTTATGTTGCGGCCCTCCTTTAGGATTTAAAAATTAGGGATTTGAGGCAAAGTGTGGGAACCATGGCTAGGAATCCATCTCACGCGCTCTTAAATCAAGTGAGTTTTCCCCTATTCAGTTTGTCCTAATGCGACAAGAGACTTCTACTTGTGGTCTTGGCGTCCCACCTCTAGTGGCCTTATCTCTCAGTCTCAAGTTGTACATTCCTCTCATCACATGATTCTATAAATGTATTGTTTTATGCATTCAAGAAACTAAATGAATTACAGAAAAAAACCAAGGAGTCAGATAATTTAGGTTTTAAATTTTGGTAATCAGATATGAATCATATTATAAATAGTTTGCGCTATTATAGATATGAGTTTGAAGGAGTTTAAACTATTATATATAAATAGTTTAAATTTTAACATATTATAAATTGTTAAAATTAGTAGAATTGGAGATAAAAATTTAGCTATAATAATTATTGTCGATACTAAAATTCTTAATATCATAAATGTTTGTACTCCCCCAAAAAGGTTGGGATATTTCCAAAAGAAAAAATTTAGAATAACCTAAATGAATTAATACTAAAGGTATCTCGTGAAAAAAATTTGTTTTTTAGAGATGTAAATAAACATGTCGCTAAATAATAGGATATTTCAGAAGTACTCATGGTGGATATAATTTTGCAGTAATTAATGAAGAACGTAAAACTATATTGGATTTTGTTTCCGCTTATGATTTTATTATTACTAATATTTTATTTTAAAAAAAAAGATAAGCATGTTATCACTTATAAGATTGGATCTAATAAAACACATTGATTATTTTTTAACAGAAAAATAGGACGTCGAGATTGAAAATATTTGTAAAGTCATTCCAAGTGAAAATTTAAGTACACAACATCGATTAATAGTTCTGGATTTTAAGATAAAGAATTTAAAAAATGAAAATTACAAAATATAATAATAAAATTAGATGGGACACTTAAAAGACAGAAATAAACTTATTTTTATGAGTAATCTTCAAAATCTTGAAATATGAGATATTCGTGAATAAGCTAATACTATGTGGGATAAAGTAAGAAGCAGTATTAATCATGCAAATGATGTGTCTGGAGAATCAAAAGATAAAACTCTTATCAAATAAAAATATTTTGTACAAGAATAATAATGTGCAAAAAAGATAAAAAAAAATATATTCAGAGCTTTCTCACACGGATTTTTTGCAATATTATAAATTGTAGACAGTTTACAGAAACAATCATGTTTTCGTTTCTTAGGTTTTATTTGCAATAAAAAAAACTCTTATCATTCATTCCTTTTTATTCATTTACTATACATATGTTGTATTAGAGTTTATCAAGTAATTTGTATGGTGTTTTCTAACAGGATAGCCACAACGTTTAGGATTCTCCATTTAGGGTTGTATTTGAAGACGAGAAAGTGCTCCGGCTATAACTTGTCTGAGGTGGTAATCTCTTTCCAAGGGATCAAGAGGTGCTCCGATTGTAGCTCACTCCTAAGGGGGTATTTATCCTTACCCAACTTCTCCACAGCCTTTCTATTCACCGCTATTGCCTTCCCCTCCTTCTTCGCCGCCCTCACTGTTCCAGCCCTCCACGTTCACTGCCGCCCCTGTTCCCTCCCCCGCCTCACAGTTTTGACCGTTGTCCAGCTGTCACATAATTGTTGAAGCCGCCCAGGACAAGCTTGCTATCTTTTTCCTACAGTCCCACCACCCAACCACCAATTTAATTCATTCCAGCCATCCCCCTCGCTGCCCCAACCCCGGAACAACACTCCTCTTATTGTCCTGCAATTCCCAACCCTTCTCCTTCGCTGCCCCTCATTGTCCCAGCCCTCCTCTTGGGAGCCGCTGCCATTCCAAGCCCGTCACTTCACCACCAACGCAATTCAAGCCCCTCATTTTGTTGTCCTAGCAACCACAACTCATTTCAACCTCTTAAAACCACTCCCCAACCACCTAGCCGACCTCCAGATCGAGCCTAGTGTGAGTTTGTATCTTATTTTGTAGTAATTTTCCTTCCCACTGTGTTTGGTTGTACCATCTATTTGATTTTAGTAAAAACATTTGTTTTCTCTATTGCGATTAGTGTTAATCCTGTTATCATTTGGTCTAATAAATTATGTGTTATGAGCATTAGAAGTACCCGTCCCTTGTTAATGAATCAATGGACAAGCTTATTTGTTAATTATTTGCTTTTTTTTGTTGTTTTTTTTTTCAATGTGCAGGAATATCATGAAAGTTTGGAGAATATTGGAGAAAAGCTAAAGGTTTTCCTTTTTATTTGTAATGCATTACTTATTTGTTGTGTCAAACTTTAAATTTCGGTTTTAAATTTGAATTGAGATTGTTATTATAAATTGAAAAAAATCAGTTGAAGAAAAAATATTTTTTGTTACTTGAAATGATTTTTTTTTAATATTTTCTTTTAAAAAATAATTAAATTTATTACTATGTTTTAATTTGCACATCTCGAGATGAACTTAAGCATAAGACGAACAAATCAATTCAAACCAAAAAAACCATCTTGTTCACAAACAATTTCAAACACAAGCTCAATGCGAATAGATAAATAATCAAATGAGCCGAACACGAACAATGATCGGGCTCGCTCAAGCTCGGCTCGTTTACAACCATACTTTTGGGTGCGCAAAATTCTGTATATTTCATTACATGTTTCCTAAAGTTATTAAGTACATTTACTATATAGGGTTAAGGCAATGAAAAAATAAAAGCCAAAATACATAAGAGAACGTCCCCGCAACAAAGCTTTTTGAAGGATGTGGAGTGTTTCAGTAAAATGTAGCATAACGAATCCTTACTCTCCAATAAATTGTAATCGGGGAGATAATTCTAGTATGAAAGCAGGAGTACATCTTACTTGGCATGAGATCTAATCCAAAAGAGGTGATGCATTCCAGTGAATTAAGCATAAAGAAAATTTACCAATAAACTTCTAGTAAGAGTGAGTCTGCTAACCTTGCAACACGAGGGAAGATAAAATAGTTGACAACAAATAATACCTTGAGAATGTTGATTAAAACTATCCAAATCTTCCTTCCGTGCCAAGTATCCATATAATTGTCGTTTACCACCATGGCAGAATAGCACATGATTACTACGCTCCCATGCCTCCCTGCTGGTTCCTTGCTCCACAAAATGCTTGTGCAATCGTTCAGCCTCCATATAGCCCATTGCAGTGGACTCAAAAATTAACACACTCATTCCACGATGACCCTGTGGGCCATATGAATGACGAGCCCTTTTAGCAGCATACGAGTCAAAATACTCCAGCAATTCTTGGTTCCCCATTCCAATCCACTGCAAAAATAGCCAACAATGCAAAAATGGATCATAAACCATTTCCGGTGGAAATGTAGAAGGCAAGTCCACCAAATGGTGGAAAAAAAATGATATACAGGGCTTTAGGAAAAGATTAAATGAAGCCTTCATTTTCATGCCAAAAATATTAGAAAAAAAATGATATACAGGGCTTAGGGAAAAGAATAAATGAAGCCTTCATTTCCATGCCAAAAATATTAGAATTTATGTCGAAATATGCGAGTAAAACACTTGTTTAATCACTTGTTATCACCTTAGTAAATTACTTCAAAATTCACGGATTCCATGCATCAAGCTATATGTTATGTGCCGCTTTTAGTAGGAAAGGTCTACATCCAAAATTAAGCAGAAAGATAGAATGAATCAGAAATAAATGGTTCATATTTAGAGATAAATAACATAGAAATACAAAACCAAAATGAATTGTTTATTTGATGTTGCTAAAGGACTATTTCACATATCCAGTTCATATAAAATTTGTAAAAGTCTAAAATAGCCCCTGCACTATTAAAAAGAATCAAATTTAGTCCCAAAATTTCAGAATGCTCTAATTTAGTCTCAGGCTATTAAAAGCTGCTCTAAATTGGTCCTATATCATATCTTCCGTTAAATTTAGTGATGGTCTGCAATGAATTGAAGGGTATTTTCGTTTGTAAGTAATTATTCAAACTTTATGTGGGTTGTATATAAATATATTTTTATTTGTTATTGAAAAGTTATAATTTTTAATCTACATTAATAAATCTCTTCACAACTGTCATCATCTTTTATTCAAATGAAAAATTTTGATAGTGTACGCTAGTGTAGGCCATAGCCATATTTATAAGACCGAATATGATTTAGAACCAGTTTGGAGCAACTTTTAATAGCATGGTTCCAGACTATTAAACTTTAATAGTGGCCTCCATGAATTGAAGAGTATTTTCGTCTTTCAAAATTACCTAACGAAAAATATAATTTAGGAATAATTTAGAGTAACTTTTAATAGTCTAACTAAATTGGAACATTCTAGAATTATGAAACTAAATTGGACACTTCTTAATAGTCGAAGGACTATTTTAGACTTTTACTCTACGAAATTCTAACAATCATTAATGTCAATGGAACAAACACTCAACAAAATTATACCACACAAATATGAAACAAAAACAATAACAAAACTTTATCCCCTACGTGGGGTCGGCTACATGAATTCTTTTTCTCCATTGTGTCCCATTAAGCGTCATATTTTCATTTAATTATAATAAATTAAGATCATTTTTTATACAAGATGCCCAAGTCTTTTTTAGGTCAACCTTTACAAACAAAATTCAAATTTAAAATAGATACTATCCTAAGAGAGCCATCAGATGGTTGATATTTAACGTGACTAAACCATCTAAAGATGACACTCTAATATTGTTTATCGCTGGAGCATTTTGTCTCTAAGTGTAAAGCCACTCATCCACCAGAGCATTCTCATCTCAAAAACACTTAATTTTATAGTTCTCTTTTATAGGCCAACAACACCATAAACATCGCAAGTCTCACCACCATTTTATAAAATTTTCCTTTTAAGCATTACTTTTCTATAACACATTAGGCTTGATGTATTCCTCCACTTCAACCATCCAACTTGAATTCTACAAATAACATCCTCATCTACATCACCATCACTTTAAACAATAGACCCGATGTATCTAAGCCGTTCACGCCTACTAATGACGAGATATACAATTGTTACAACCCCGCCACTAGATATACCACTAAATTGCATTCCATGTATTCAATTTTAGATCTACTCGAATGAAAGCCTTTAGATCTAAAGTTTACCCACATAAATCAAGCTTTCACTGAATTCTCTCTCTAGTCATATCCAAAAGAAGGACATCACCAATGAAAAGCATACACCAAGGTACATCCTCCTAATAATGTCAATTAAGAACATCTATAACTAAAGCAAAAAGGATATGCGCTTAAAGTTGATCCTTCATGTAATCCAACTAAAATAGGAAAATACTTGGCCAATTCTTCGTATGTTCAAAGACAAGCGACATCACTAGTATACATATCTTTCATGACTTAAATGTATACAATAACAATACCTTTCTTTTCTAGAACTCTCCAAAATATTTCTCCAGAACATTAACATAAGCTTTTTCTAAATCAACAAAAATCATATGAAGGTTCTCTTTATTGTATCTGTACTTTTCCATGAAACATCTCGATAAATGTATAATTTCCATATTAAACTTGTCTGACATGAATCCAAACTGATTTAGAGAAATTTAGCATCACGATGTAACTTATGTTCAATTATTTCATCCCATAACTTTAATGTATGACACATTAACTTACTTCCTTTATAATTTGTACTTGCATCCCATTTATTCTTAAAAGGAGAAACCAACACTCTTTCTCCACTAATCAGATATTTTTAAAATTTTCAAAAAAAAATTAAAAGTTTAGTAAGCCAAAAAATTCTCGAATCTCCTAAATATTTCCACACTTCAATTGGAATACTATCAGGTTCTAATGTTTTTTTCCACACTTCATTTTTTAAAGCATCCTTAACTTTCGTTTTACTAATACAACAATGAAAATAAAAATTTTTGTTATTATTTATGATATTAAGATCACTAAATATGATAATATTTTCACAATATTCATTAAAAAATTTATCAAAACACTCACCCACAAATGTTGAATATCTTTATCTAGAAAAGTTTTTTTTTTCACCTTAATATATTTAACTTAAACTAAATCTTTACTTTTTTTTGTCGCGAGATAATACATACATCTTTCATCATCTTTAATATCTAATATATCTATTATAAAGATCATTACAAACAAAATTCTTAGCATCGCAAATTATTCTCTTATACTTTATACGGGCCACCTTATATTTCTCCAAATTTTTCAAGTTTTTACATCGAAACTAATTTTTATAAAATAACTTTTTTTTAAATTTTCTCTTGCATATTATTCTTTAATCATCAACCATATTTATTCATATTTTTTTTTCTTTTGATTCCTCAAACACATCTTTTGCAACTTGTTTAATAGTACTCATTATTTAAGTTTCTTCATTAACATCCTAAATAATAAGCTTTTGAAATTTACTCATAAAAATAAATTTATTTTAAATTTTAAAGCTCTCCTCTAATTCTATGACAATATTTAACTGTATTTTTCACTTTCTCACCCCTCATCTTAAAATCCAAAACTAATAATCAATATTTGACACTTAAAGTCTCACTTGAAATGACCTTACAATCTTTAAAATCTCGACGATTTATTTTTCTCAAGATAAAATAATTAATTTGTGTTTTATTTGATTCATTCTTATAAGTGATAATATCCTCATATCTTTTTTTTTTTTAAAAAAAACATTAGCAATCACAAAATCATAATCTAAATTATAAATTTAATATGACTACTTTCTTCATTAGTCACTCCAAAATCATACTATGCCAACATGTCCATTTAAATCTTCCAAAAAAATATATATTTCTTATAGAGATATCATTTGTCTCCAAATTTCTTTTTTTATAGATATATATAATCTACTTGAAGAACAAAAACACTTGTAACATTAAAATTTTAGTATCAATAACAATTTTTAGAGATATAATTTTATCTTCAATTCTATTAATTCTTACAACATTATCTTTCAAACACTTTTTTATAATTATATATGTACCGTTTCTAGTATAACTCCTACATGAACCAAAATAAGCTATCAATTTCATTAACATTTTCTCCAACCCATTTAGTTTTTTGAATGCATAAGATTTTTATCTTCCTATAAATAATAATATATACTAATTTCATTAAATTATATGTGAAAGTATTTATATTATAGGTTTCCAACTTATTATTAGTTTCATGGACGAACTTTTTTTGCTTACATCAGTCTGTAATGTGAGAACCATTATATTTCGAAAGTAAATAAATAAATAAATATATACATAATAAATATTTATAAAATTAAATATAATAAATTATAATTAATTAATTTTTTTAGTTAATCTATGTTTTATGAAATTTATTCTTGATATTTGCTTGGAATTAAATTATTAATACAACTTTTTTTTAAAAAAATTATTATTTTAATTTTATCTAAAAATTAATTATTATAATATATTTATATTTTAACGAGCCAATTTTAAGCGGAACACGAACATGAATAAGTTTTCGAGTCAAACACGAACACACTGGTCACGAGCTATTTCGAACACGAGCCAATTTCGAACAAGCCGAACACGAGACAAGCCTGAGCTCGCTCAGGCTCGATTTGTTTACAACCCTAACTATACCTGAGGTCGGTGCAATGACCCTTGCACACTTTTCACTGTATTCACTCCACACAGTGTGTCCAGGGTACACCCAAGCATTAATACAATGATTTAAGAGATTTATGTCAATTTTTTTGACAAAATTTTACGCTGACTATCGACTATCAAATGCACTCTTTCACTTTTTGCATCTGGGATTTGGAACTCAACAATGGTAGTGAAAATTATTAAATACCACTAGCAAACATCTACATATGACCAATAAGAAATAAATGTGCCAATCTTGGCTTTAGCAAAGTTGAATATCCCCACCAAATGACCGTATCATCAACCTCCATTATGCGGCCTTGAAAAATCCCTTAACAACACATAATTAAAGAACTACATCACCCACAAGACATATCATGATAGAATGCAAAAAAAGGATTCATGAACTAAGAATACGATCAAGCTAACATTGCAGATGTGGGTTGATGTCGATGGAAGTAGTAATATGTATTATCAACCGTTATGGAAAGTAATAAATCTTAAGTTTGTATATTATGAAGCTTATAAATTAGGAAGTTTGATATTGGGTTATCAAATTAGAGGAGATATAATTACAATATTTTTTTTTCTATATTATAGATATTCCTAATCTATAGAGATGGGATTGTATATAAATATGTAACATATGTTTTCAATTAAGAAAAAAGAGAAAGA